TTGGGCTGGCTGGCAGAGGGGCTCGGTTCTGTCACTTGGTTAGACAGGGAGGCTGCAGTGTTTAGCTGGGCCTTAGGGCTGTGCTGGTGAGCCATGGGGCTCTGCTTCTCCGAGCTGGGGGCTGATGGAGGATTGCTCACCTCTGAAAAACAGAATGTGATGTAAGAAAATCAAACCATAAGGTATCAGCTAAGGCTGTTTTGTCACTATAACTTGATTGTCTTGGCCACTTGAGGGCAGCACAGCAAACCTATTGTCCTCTGATAAAGTTGATCTGCTGGAGTAACGGCGCTATTTATTTCTTTTCAACTGCTAAATCTGAGCAGAAAAGGAGATTCCTGTTTAGGTTTTCACCACATGCCTAAGGGCATATTTGAGTCTTCACTTTATTTACTGTGACAGAAATGAAACAATGGCCTGAAAAAAGATCAAGTGGCCGATTAAAGCTGGGTGGTGGTGAAAGTGTTCTTGATTTGAATAATTCTTAATAAAAAATATTGATAAGTAGACCTTTATTTTCTATTTTAAACAAAACACAACTACTGCCAGGGTTGGCAATTTCTATGGCTACACAATATCCTCAGCTGCTTCTTGCTGTGATTAGCCAGCAGTGGAGAAGTACAATGGGTTTAAATCTATCTAGCAACACAACTGCAGCTTTATCAAAGTCTATTGTGTAATCATTTGGTGAAAGTGTGTGTTTTTTTTCCAGTTTTGATCATCAGTGAGTCTCGCTTACTCCTCATTGTAATGTGGAACCCTTATTGGGCCCACTAACAGTGGTCAAAAATCTACAGGTATCTCCAGTGTATCTCAAAATAATGGGAATACAAATGTCAGTGGGAAGTGATGCAAAAAGAAAATCCTTTCTCGGCAGCCTTGGTTGCTGTGATTCAAGTTTATTGTGAGTAGTTAAGAGTCTCTTGTTGAATTGAAATCTTTCTCAAAAGCAACAAATGAAAAGAATCACTTGGTAAATGGGAGAAGGGAACACATTTCTCAGTGACACAGCCGGAGTGTGTTCTGTGTTAGTGTTATTGTTAGAGACGTGCACTTCTGTTCCAAGCATCTGCATGCAGAGGTGTCATAAAAACAGAGTGTGACTGGCTTGTGAATGTCACACAAAGCTTTGCAGCTTTCATTTAACAAAGCTAATTCAATATCTGTCATGAATCACCGTCAGCAGGTGTTTTGTGTGCGTGTGTGTCCATGTCTCACCTTCCTGTGGTATGATCCTCAGGGTGACACTAAGGCCTGCATCTTTGATCAGCTTAACGATGTCAGCGTGCGGCATGTTGACGATGGACTGGTTGTTCACCGCCAGTATCCTGTCTCCCACCTTCAGCTTCCCGCAGCGGTCTGCCGGGCTGCCCTCGATGATGCGGCCAATTTTGTGGGGCACAGCTGTTGGAGCATTCACACACGCAACAGCGGGTAAAGACGCGCTCGGCAGCAGATTGGAGGATTACGCTAGTCTGTGCTCACAGCACCACTCACTGCCTGACTGACTGACTGACTGAACGTGTCTCTGCCTCTCTCATTTTGCTATTCACCTCAGGCTTACGTAAGGCATCCAGTTTTTCTTCATGTGTGTGTGGGCGATGCACTGATGCTCAGAGCAGTGCGCCAGATATGTGTGTGACTGACGTGCTGTGGGAGGGCATGTATAATTGAGGAGCTAGAATGAGAGGCGCTTCACTTTTTACCAAGCCGTGACCTTGCCTACCCTAACCAATAAGTTTTCTTCACACTATAAAGAGACTACCTGGTTATTTACAAGCATCTATGAGCTTTGCCTCAATGTTTAGCACTCGAAGCAGTTGTTATGCTAAGCAGAGAATGACTGATGATGCTTAAGCACCTACTTGACTCTTTAATAATCACTGGACTCACTGTTAGTTGTGGCCGCCTCAGGCCGGTTGAGCGAGCTGATGATGACGAAGCCGAAGCCCTCGCTCTCCTTTCGGCTGATTATGACATCGCTTGGTTGTGTGTTCGAGGTCCCGTCTGAAGTAGCACCGGTGTTGCCCATGCCAGCGTTGGGAGCCTGGGGTGTGCTGGTGCTGTTGCCATACGTGAAGTCACTGCGTGGAGAGCTGTGCTGCGTGGAGACAGAACCTGGGCTGCGGCCGTTTTCTGGACAAGACTCGCCTGTAGGGCGACGCAGAGAGGAATCAGAACAGAGGTATGTAGCTGAGTTTGAGAACCCTTCCCAAATGTGCGGATTAATGTGAAAAGGCATAAAATTGTATGTTTGCACCAACAAGGTGACTCTTAAAGAGCTGTTAGCCCTAAACCTGACACATCTCAGCTTGGTGTGAAGTGAATTCTTAAAGGTTGAGTGAACTGCACAATTGGAGGACAAAAGAAAAAAAACTATCTAAAGCAGATGAAAAGGATCTGAAAGTCACCTCCTGAACAAAGAAGAAAAACCTGTTAGGAAATCTTTGTCAAAATTGATAAAATTACGAACAACGTATTGTCAGCTTTAAACCATCCACAAGGTGAAACTATCAGTCATGGACAGACCTCTACGGAGACAGAAGAGGACGCAGTGTGGGATCATCTTGACAGAGAACAGAACAAAGTAAAGACAACATCCAAAGAAGAGCTTTGGATGTCCTTCAAGAAGCATGGAGAGCTATTCCTGAAGTCTACTTAAAGGAATTCCAAGGCTTACAGGAGGTGCTAAAGAATAAAGGTGGTCATATCTTTATTTCAAACATGACTTTCAAGCTCATTAGAATTATAAAAACTCTGTTTTGCCTCTGCGACAGACTGGCGACCCGTACAGGGTGTACCCTGCCTCTACCCCGATGATAGCTGGATGGATGGATGGGCTATTTTTGCTTTATATACTGTATTTTCATTTGTTTCCCACTTCCCAGCAAAACACTGAAATTAGTGGTGGGTCAAGACTTTTATAGCTATATATATGTAAATGTTTATTTAAGATATTTTAAGACATCGGAGACCTTAAGGAGCCTAATGGGAGAGGAAAGGACTTACAAACCCTATTAACACTTACAATGTATTCATTAATGATCCAAATGAAGGCCACAAGCTAAAACATATCAAAAATACATCATTGCTTCATAATACAAAAGTGCACAATGAGCATTTTACTGTTGCAGCAAGCTGAGATGGAGTTTTTTTCAGGACCCCTACAACGGCAACCCTGCTGTGTCGCAGCATTCAAATAAGATGGCAGCTTTTTTCGTGTGAGGATTTTTTTTTTTTTTGATGATGTAACCCTCTAGCCCTCACATTGCTATTTTAAGTAAACCATCAGAAAAGTGTAGCAGTTAGCAGCTTACAATTTAGACTTCTGAAACACAGTAAGAACAAAACTATTTTTTTTCTCCAGTAATTTGATCCTTAACTGTGAAATCATTTATTTGCTTAACCTGCAGGTGACTCCGGGTGTCAAATTATTGTGGTGCGCTGAATAATACAATATTAAGTTCTTAAATGAATTAAAGGACCTTTAAAACTCTTGTTACCTTCTATCAGTGCAGTTCATGCTCGCTACTACTGCTCTTGAGAACGGCATCTCATCCCAAAAATGATGTTACAACAGCTGGTGCACCTTACAGGTTTTGTAACCAGGTGTGCGCATAGCAACAAGGCTGGAGGCATGAGCGATCTCTACATATATTTCCATGAGATGCTGTTGGGAGGATCATAGAAATTCCCAGGTGGATTCCAGGGAGCTCCTGGAATAGTTTAATGCTTTGTTTCCTGCTTCCTTAATTCTTCTACTCACACTCCAGTGGTAAAGCAGTGTTTTTTTCAGAGTTGTGACACTTTGAAGTAGTGTCACTGTTACATTTTTTCATGTACAATACAGAAATGGCCATCTCTATATTGCTTTTGTACTATACTAGAGTAGCTTTGCTTGATTCACAGGATCCCCCCGTCACATCCTACATAAACCCTCAAATAATTTACTAGTATTTTTTGAAACTTTGGCCAACTTTAATATGATCATCCACAGTTTTGAAATGTTCAAGTGACATAAAATAAGTGAAAGCATAAAAGTCACCTTCAAAGAAACTAAAGATTCCTAACTAGAAAAAAAATATCAGCAGGATACAGAGTTACTTTCATAGAATCCAAAGATCATTTTGCATGTGGAAAATCTACACAGTTTTGCCAGCAAAGTGTTTTTCATCTTCCCCCTAAGCTGGAACTAAACCTCATCCCTGTGAAGAATCAAGAAGCGAACATAAGACAGCAATTCAAAACAGGAAAAGCAAAGAACAGTCACAGTGTGGTAAAACACATCATTAAAATGCTGCCTTATGTCAATCCGACCACAGCTAAAGTAGCTTCTAGCACCTCTAGCATACACTGACAAAAGTGTGCATATGCATTCTGGCACACTGACTGATTGAACCCAGTGTTGTTTTCATAGTTCACTAGTAAGCGGGGCTGCGCTCTTCTGTAGTTAAACAGTTCAGGATTTAAACTGTAAATGTGAAGCTATGACAAGCTTTGTTATCATTAAAAGGTTTGAGCCCACATTTAGTATTTCTTTACCCAATGAGTGCACAAATTATTATGACATGAGGAGGAAAATAGTGAAAAAAGCCAAAGATTTGTGCAAAATGTGGGTCACTGGGTGCGGGCTAAAGTGTGAGCTCGGAGCAGAGAGAGTCTGACACTTCATAAAGTGCCAGTGGGAGTCAGACAATTAGGATGGAAGTAAGGGCCACACAAGAGGCCAGGCATGAGTCAGACAGTAGCCTTTGGTGGAGAAGAAATTGACAGACAGGGCGGACTAGAGTGGGAAGAATTGGATTGGTGAGAGGAACATGTGCATGTGTGTGTTGGAGGGCGTAATAATGAGAACAGGACAGGCTGTAGTTCAGAGGAAGAAGCGCCAGCCCAGTCTCCACGGTAAAGAAACTCAAGTAAGGAAAGGGAGCGAGAAATGTGTGTGCGTGAGAGCGAAGGTGTGCTAATGTGTTTTTCAGAGAGGCTTCAGCATAATTACTCAGAGATTAGTGGTTCGGTTTTCTGACTGATTAAACCTGAATCATTACAGGACATGAATGAGACCAGGAGAGGTAATAGAGGAGGACGAGAACAGACAGAGGAGAGGCACGCTGCACACTTTTATAATCCAGAGCAGTACATTTATGCTGTGTTAAACAGTGGATTAAAAAAATCTATAAAGAAGGAATCCCAGATTGATGACTTTGCCGTTTCCTCACCTGCCACCTGAACCCTCCTCCTGATAACCAGATTCACCTGGCCGGTACGCGCTGCCCCGTGCATCAGGTCAATGACATATCTGTGTGGCTTCCCCACCACTGGGATTCCGTCAACAAACAGCAGCTCATCACCGGGCCGCAGGCGCCCATCTAGATCCGCTGGACTCTTCTCGATGATCGCCCCGATGAGAATCTGTTTTTAAACGCAGGCTGTCAGAAAGATTTCGGACTCATAAGCCCCGAGACTCCGGAGTGTAGACTGTGTGGGTCACATGCAAGTGGGTGTTAAGTGGTTGTTATACTGACACATTAGAAACTCAGTTACATGGCTAAAATATTGTTGTGTTACAGTAAAAAACAGCAATAAACACCAAAGCAGCCACAGCCAGCACTCTCTCAGGGGGCAAAGGTCAGGTTAGGTGTTCACAGTGTGTGTAGTGGGTTAAGAGAGGAGAAAATGACAGGGTTCCACGCCCACTGCCATACGAGCCTTCTCACGCGTCTCCGGACTCACAGGCTGCCCCGCCTCATCCCCGCCCAGCACCCGGAAACCGAACCCGGACTTCTGTCGGCGCAGGTGGACCTCGATGTCCTGGTACTCTCCTCCTGAGGCAAAACAAGAGGAAAATAATTAAATTACTATCCTGGCCTGACAGTGTGCGGCGCTCCAGTGTCCCTGTAAGGAGTATGTGTTTACCTGAAGAGTCCAGAGGAAAAACAGTCCTTGGCTGCCCAGGATCTAGATTAAAAGATGAAGACAAAGGACAGGATGTCCCTGTAAACAATGCAAAATGCACAAAAAAATGCTCATACACATCCAAAGAGTACACCAGTAAACACAGACGCTCCCATAAAGGCTAGAAACAAGGCAGAAAGGCCCTGCCTCAGCATTATGTCACTGCAGAATTTCAGCATCATCCATAAAAGTCGGGAAGTGCTTACAGCGTGTAATATACCCATCCCTTATTTACAGTGTGAGGTGGGGTGCAAGCACTGATCTGCAATCAGGAGCTTTGCACGACGCCATGATGTGCAAAAGTAGTGAAATGAACTCAACCACAGACAAGTGGCTGTGAATGAAAAATTGATTCCAGTTGTAAGTGTTTTAATCATAGTGAGCGCTCTGCTGAGACTCCACAGGAATGATCAGAAAAAGAGAATCAGGACTACAGGTGAGCAGAGCGAGGCAGCTATTACCACAAAATATACAGTTCTGTTTATAGAGAAGTGGTGGATTTCTTCAGTATGTCTATATTTTTTCTTTATATTTTAAGAACAGTCAAAATTACAAAGTCAATTTCTACACTCAAAAACATCAAATTCAGGAAATAGGTTCAAGTATATCAGTATTTTTGGGGGTAGTTTATAATATTAGCTCACTGTTAGCTTATTAATGGAGTAAACCCAAAAAAGTCAACCAGGCTCGCTGACTAGATAGCATGAACAAATAAACAATGCTGTTAACAAAACTTTACATCGAAATGCACTTACTGGCCACTTTATTAAGTACACCTGTTCCTCTGGACTTGAATAACTTTGCAAATATCTAATCAGCCAATCACATGGCAGCACCTCAATACATGTTGGCATGTAGACGTGGAGAATCTACAACATGTGAACCTTTAAGGAGATGGGTTACAGCAGCAGAAGACCGTACCTGGTGCCACTTGTAGCTTCAGACGCTGAGGCTACATTTCACACGGGCTCACCAAAACTTGACAATAGAAGACTGGAAAAATGCTGCCTTGTCTGATCAGTCCTGATTTCTGCTGCAGCATTCAGACGTTGGGGTCAAAACTTAGCGTAAAACTCAGACTGCTGCTGCTGGCGGCGTAATGATGTGCAGGATAATTTCTTGGTACCTTTTCAGTCCCTTTGTACCCACTGACTATCAGTGAAACCTGACAGCCTACCTGAGTACTGCTGCTGACCATGTTCATCCCTTTATGACCATAATGTGCCCATCTCCTGATTTCTGCTTCTAGGCATGCCTCCAAGTTCAAATCATCTCAAATTGGTTTCTTGAGCAATTGGACCCCACAGTCACCAGATCTATTTCTCCAACAGTCTACAATCATGCAACTTCAGGATATAGTGTAACAGAAGATTCTCATCATGGATGTGCAGCCAACAATATAACGGAAAAAATAAAGAAAAGGTCGAAACTGTACACACAAAACTCGAAAGTGGTGAAATTGGTCACCAGCTGTTAAACTGGGCAGCAGTGATGTATGGCTAAAATAACACGCAAACAGGTAAGGACATCTGGATCAGATAACTATCTACAATTGAAAATTATGCCAAAAGTGTTCAGATGCAGTTTAAAATAAGCTCAGTTTAACAGATTCAAAGATCAAGAATGTTGTGAACAGGTTTTTAGAGTCCGTCTGACAGGGCTGCAGTAGTAGATGTAGTCAGATGAAAAAAGGTTGGGAGCACTGGTCTAAACAATCTTCGAACAATCTTCTTCAAAGATACAAACACACACACACAAAATCTCGAGTGGTTTCTAGCAATGCAGCCTGCTTGGGATTTATTCACTCAGGATCTCACATGTCTGTCTTTGAAGTGTCTTTGACTTTAATGCGTATGAAACTGTCAAATTATATTTAAGAAAACACAACAAAACAGGAACACCTGCTTTTCCCTGTCACACTGAATAATCCACAAAACCTACTGTGACCATTTTTAATACAGGCCCATAAAGCTGAGAATGTATGCTAAAGAGTTTGAAATACATGATCCTATACCTCAGTCTGTTTATGTAATCGCTGGCATTAATTTATTAAGGGTCAGAGAAGACTGAACTTAACCAGAGCTGACGGAGTCTGGGCTGGCCCGAGGTTGTGATGCTAAATAAAAGGTCACACCCAGCTTTACCTACACCAGTGAGGCGGTCAAATGGAGCACTGCTAAAATCTGTCGGTGTGTTTTTCCTACTGAGCATTACCAGGCACAACCCCTGACCTTTACTGAGAGGAAGGCAGCAGTGATCACGGCATCCGCCACAGAAGAGGAGGAAGCGACAGTGAGCGAAACAGGAAGATTTGATGAGAAGACTTTCTGACAGCCGTGTCCTCTTGAATAGCGGGTACCTCATATACAGCAGCCTTAACAATAAAAACTTTACTGTAACTTTACTATAGCAATATCCTCCAATAAACCAGAGGAAAGATACTGTCATGCCATGAATCCATGAGACTTGTTATCAGTTATATGCAAGGCAGATGTTAACATCTAAAGAGAATCAGTGAAGAAACTGGCTTACACACCACTGTGAGAGTGGAAAAGCCAACTCAACATAATCCATATTTCACTATGTGTTTCCCAGAAACACATTTTTACTTTCAAGTAGGAATCTAAATGACAAAATTAAGAGCATAATGTGAAAGAAACACAATAATACTTAGTGTAAATGTCTATTTACAGAATTTAAGACCATAAATTTTAAAATGGTCTTAAAAAAACAAACTTATTTTATGTATTTTATGACTACTGTTCCTTTTATTAATTGTGTTTTTTGAAAGGTGACCTTGGGTTTCTGAAAGGCGCCCTCAAATAAAATGCATTATCATTATTATTATTATAAAAAACTAATTCTAGTACCTGTGTGCTATGATAACATAGATCTGTGATCTTACTAAAATCCTTATTCTGCAAATACAAACATGCATAAAAAGCATGTCCTACTTGCTACTGATTAAAATGCTCAATTGAGCAAAAGAATGATGTATGCACAATTGCAATAATATGTTGAATTTTATAATTTTACAAGTCACAGGATGGAAATATAACTGTGCAGAAGCACCTGTCTGATTATTCAGGGACACTTCTCAGTTTACAATGTGAGCTGGAAGAAGATCAGTGTTTCTAGCTATCTGCACAGCTTCTGATTTTTATTTTATACTCGTGGTTATTGTGTGGAAAGTTCAGACACAGATCTTCAGCTCTGAAGAAAGAGGTCAGCAAATTTTAGAAGACATTTTCAGATTTCTGTGGAGCAACAAAAGTGACAATGAATCACTTCTGTGATTGAGAGAAAGAGTGATCGCTCTTCACTCCTCTGCCTTCCCTCGTAGAAGCTGGCCTGCTTGATTTCTAGAGAGGAGTGTGTTTTCACAGCACTTCACCTGCAGTATCAACGCTGGTACTTACGCCTACTCTCAAAGATAGCCCTGGACTTCTCATAAAGGTCATATGGGTCTGGCTTTGCCAGGGCCAAGGCCTCGGAGGCAGACTCAGGGACCGAGGCCCTGTGAAGATGGTGTGTTGGGAAGGGGGCGCTGTGGGGGATAACAGGAGCCGACAGGCTGGTCTGAGCAGGGCTGCTCTGGCCCTGCTGGGACTCCCACTGCTCCAGCACCTGCAAAGCACAGCGGCATGAGCGGTCAGTATTTCCCTTCCTGCTCTCCCACTCCTGATGCTTGATTTCATCCTCTAAATCACAGTAAGAACCGTAAACTCCTAGGCACGGTTTCGTTTAAGGAGCTGTGACAGTTCACTAAACCCTGCCGCGCCCATTTATGGCTGCTACACCCGTCAAGCTTTGCCTGCTCGCACATTTTTACAACTTAATAATGCATGTCTATTTTCAGAGAAAAGTAAGGAAAACTACTTATTTCTAACAAAAAAAAATTATGCTTTCGACTCACAAAAAGGTGCCTGTCAATTTACATGTTTTTATGTAACCGTAACATCTGTCTCCTTCTGATTTTAAGATTAAAACATGTGGTGAAAGAAAAAACATAATGGAAAAGACTTGATGCTTTTAGCTTTGGCAAAAAGACAACTCAGGAAACTGATGATGATGCCCTGGGCATAAAAAAAAAGCACCAAAGTGTGTCAGTTACAGACTCACTTGAATTCCCCGTTTACTGTTTTTTCAAACTATTTTAATGATGATGTGTATTAAGAATTATAATTTTACATCTCTGATTGAAACCATCAGGAATGCAGCATTTTGCAAAGTCAGCCTTTGCCTTGTATTTTTAAGATAACTATGACACAACTAAAGAAAATACCCCAAATGTGACTACAATAGGCAGCCTTGCTAAAATATTTTAACATATGGGAAAGAACAAAGCTTGACAGGCCTGCTGCACCTAATTGATGTGGTTCAATATTTCCTGTTAGGGGGCAGTGTTTCGCCAACTGTCAATTCAAGCATGTTAGTGAGGTTAGTAGTAGAAATAAGCAAAATACTGCCAGCTGTTTCTATTTGGCATTCAGATCACAGTGTTTATGGGGATGTGTGCAGGGAGGAAAGCATCTGACATATGTGATTGACACATCTAGATGGACATTTAAAAAAAATGATAGTGGATTCTAAGGGCCAGAGCAAAAGTTATTCTCTATCTGTAAGGTAGAGTGTGGTATATAATCAGAAATCGGATAACTTTCATCCAGAAAGACATCTGAAAATGTGCTTTCAAGCTTTGGAGGTGACAAAGGCAGTTTTGACATCACCAGTCAAAGTGTCAGCCTTGATGTGTCAGATAAGCGGGGCCGCCTGAGTCATGGCATGACACTAAGCAGATAGCCAAGATGACATGTTGACATGTCAAAAAAGGGTGAGCGACAGATCTGGAGGGAACAACAGGCCTTTTGAAAGCGAGACGGCGAGATTGGCTGCATAGTGCCACACTTTAATACTGAGAAATGCAGGTCATCTGGTTCCAGATGTACCGAGAATAAATATCAACTTCATGGAAGCTCTGGTTAGGAATGAAAAGCAGCTCCGCTCTTTGCAGTTTTCAGTCGCGTCTGCTATTGATGTGAAGCACGTCTGCATAGGGCAGGCTGCTGAGACTGGGGACCTTGTTAAGGCGGGGAGTAGACTTCTGCATCCTGATCTCTCTTTCACTCTGTCTCTTCTTATTTGAGATTAAGACACTGAAGCAAGCACACTATGGCGATGATCTACTTGATCACATGAATAGAGCGCACAGCAGGCTGACAGCATTGCTGAATGAAAAACACCTGCATGTGTTGCCACATTAAGCACTATTCTCTGTTACCTACAGTATCAGCTGAGTTTGATTGGCAAATCTTAATAAGCTCATTTGCAAATAAAACTCTTGGGAGTTGTGGGGCGAGTGTTTCCAGGACTGTAGGTCAATATGGCAATTAGGAGATTTCCTGTCTTCCCTTATTAGCCAAATTCTTCCATATTTCATTGTCTGCTGCAGAAGTATTCCTTTAACAAATTACACCTAATTATACGAGTACTAAAGTCTGGTGTCGGGGGCTTCAGCAGCTAAAAGAGAGGGGCAGGCACAGGTGGGGCATCCAAAAAGGTGAACAAACAAGACAAGAGAGAGGTTGTGTATGCTGACTGCTGCACTACAAAAGCTCAGAGTTTAGGATTACAATTATTCTGAGAGAGATGAAAGACGATGATTGTGTTGAGATGGAAGGAGAAACGCTGAACAATGAGGGGATTTCAGCAGACAAAGCATCTTAAAAGCTGCACAACTGAGGTTTCCTCTGATGTTAGTTGGGAACTGGAATGGGGACAACATTAGCTGGGGTCAGGGACTGGTCAGAGCAGTGCTGGGAAGATGCCAAGGCATGAAAGGAATATGAGGGTGACACAGATAAAGCAAAAATGAATCTGATCTGAGAGGGTGTTTGGTGGACAGAGTTGTTAGAGGCCTGTAGGGACAGCAAATGACAGTGTAGTAGTGTATTTATAACAGCAGTGGAGGCAGGACTCGGAGCTAAAGGCAAGTTTGCAGAGATGCCACATGACGGGTTTTTGCTTTACTGGGTGAAAAAAAAAAGAAAAAGAAGGTGAAAGATAAATGACCGTGGAAGAAAAGCAGGGTATAGATGTGCAGAAAAGCTTTTGAAACATTTTGCCAAATGGACAAATGTTATGAAATGAAGATTAAAAAGGGGATGAAACATATCTGGCTCATGCCAAAGCACCGAACACAGATGGATAGCAGCACTAGAGCTGTAGCATAATAGTCCTAATGTCCTGAGTGTAAATTACCCTGATGGCACCCAGCCAGGCTATGAATCACGCCTGACTTGGAGGATACAAGTCTAGTGATGTTATGAGTGGGCTACTTGGTCTTTCTGCCATCTCATAACGATAAAGAAGGGCTGAATATCAAAAGCGGGACACGGACATATAGTGAGTCATCAGCGGGGGTTAGTACGACGGACAAAAGAGCAGACAAGTCACTGCTAAATTTAGAGTTTTTCCAGTTAGCACATACGTATGCACACTGCAGCCACTGGTGGTAATCTACAGAATAAAAAAGCAGAAATGTGGATAGTCTGGATTTCTGAGGATGTTGCATGTTACCTGCTTAGGGGTCTTCCAGGGTGAATAGTGACCTGTAATGTTGAGAGAACAAAAAACAACTTGTGTTTTAAACGGAAAAAGATGAAAACCGATCATGAGATGTGAGGCTTATTTTTACCCAATGAAGCCAGGGTTTCCAGGGTGTATCTTAGAGGATAATAAAATGAAGAAAACATCTGAATTAAATTGAAACCAAATGAAGACAATAATGGGACATGACAGCAGTGTTTGGAAGTGGTAGAAAGGACGAAGAAAAGGACATCTAAAACATGATGAAAGCACAAAGCAAGCGATGGCAGAAACCAACTGTGAATGTAAAGTGAGATTAAAATAAGACCTGAGAAAATTCACTGCTGCACATACAGAGTATTTGCTACTGATAAAACGTGATTTTTATTCTGATTTGGGGATATCAGGTAATAATGTTTGCATTCTTTTAATAGAAACTTCATACTGATGCATTTTAAACCTGCGTTATTATATTTATAGCCACTTGGGGCAGCGGAAACAAGCTGTAAACACAACACTGACAAATTATTACATTATTACACAAGTATTCCTAAAGGAAATTCAAATCTCCTCAGCTGCTAAATGCTCATCTATGAGCAGGTGCGATTATTAGAGAAATCAGCTGCATGCTTGCTGAAAATTTTAGGCCATAAATCCAAATCAGCTGCATGAATAAAAAACATTAAAATGTAGTATTACAAATCCCGATCCTCACAAATACAGACACTCTGGTTTTACTAATGTGACAGAGACAAACTGCTCTATATCATCATGTACTGCACATCAAATGCCACTAGAGGGCAGTCTACTGGTGACACAGGCTCCAGAGCTCAGTCAGCTGTGACAGGTAAAAAATGACTCACTGATAAATGTGCGCCAGCCAACACACTTGAACATGTGCACACTTAGCCTCAAGAGAAAAAGTCATGGATACAGATGTAATCCTACAAACTGAGTCTTCAGTGAGCTCGCTGACTTTCAGTGTTTCAATGTCTGTCACATGGACAGCTGTCAGCAAGTCATCCAACAATAATCAAGATAAAGGTGGGGGTCTTAGTGGAGATTCAATTCCTTTGTGATTAAATAAAACTTTTAATTCAGATTAAGCTCAGATTGAGCATCAGAATGGGGAAGAAAGGTGATCTGAGTGACTTCAAATATGGGTTAGCTATTGGTGCCAGACAATGTGATTATTTTACCACATGTGCATCTGCAGGGTTTACAGAAAATCCCCCAAAAAAAGAGCAAATATTCACTGAGCGCCAGTTCTGAGTGAAAATGGCCTTCAGTGGTCAGAGGAGAATGAGCAGACTGCTTTGAGCTGTCAAATAAACACTTGTTGCAACCAAGGTATGCAGAAGAGGATCTTTGAATGCAAATCTTAAAGCAGAGAAGCTACAGCAGCAGAAGACCACAGCTAAGAACAGGAAACTTAGGCTCCAATTCACACGGGCTCATTACAAACAACACAAAAACATGCATCCATCCTGCCTTGTGTTAACCATTCAAGCTGCTGCTAGTGGTGTAATGGTATAGGGGATATTTTCTTGGTACCCTTTGAGCACATCACAGCCGATCCCAGTACTGTTTCTGACCATGTCCCTCCCTTTATAACCGCAGTGTACCAGTCTTCTGATGGATGCTTCCAACAGGTTAAAATGCCGTGTCACAAAGCTGAAATCATCTCAAACTGTTTATTGAGCTGTACTCAAATGGTCTCCACAGTAACCGGATCTAAATCCTATAGAGCGTGGATGTGCATCTGACAAATCTACAGCAGCTGTGCAATGCTGTCATGTCAGTATGAAGCAAAAATGTTTCCAGCATTTTGATGAATCGATGCCACGAATAATTCTGGCAGTTCTGAAGGGAAAAGTTGGCCCAACCCAATACTAGCAAGGTGTAGCCAATGAAGTAACTGGTGAGTGTGAGCTACTGGGCTACTGTGTAACCAAACATTTAAACGGTGGTGTACATTTAATAATATGAATTGTTTTCAACTTAATAAATTAACAATTCTAAAATGTCTAAAGGCAACTAGTTGCTAATTTGTCTAACTACATAACCACCCAGCTACAATGATTTACCTTTTTGGAAACATAAAAACCATCACATATCCTATCCCCAGGTGACGTTTCACACCAGGAAGGTATGAAAAAAATTTAACCTCGGTCTAAATCTGTTCATCTAAAGGTAACTAGGGGATCCAGAGGTAGTATAAAAGAACTGAACACTCAACATGAATCCATTGTTTCGGTTTTCACTTGAAATGAGGAAAGGCTGACCTCACTCAATACCTCTGATCAATCTTCAGCAAACATTTCATTAAAGCATTCAATATCAGCACTCAGCAGGACGGCAACTACGCTAGGCAAAGAGACGTTTGTGAATATATCACTGATCTGTCAGTGCCTACAGCAATAAAACTCTGACTTTCACTTAAGTAAGTTCAGGGTGACCATAAAGTGGTTTTAGTTTGCAATGCAGTGCAGCAAGTTAAGAACATACTTTCTCCTTTCACTTCCCAATTCATCTTGCTTTGACCTTTAAAATGTTATTCCACACATTTCAGCTGCTTACAACGTTGCCCAAGCACAAGAACCAGAATTCCGAGTTGAGCGATGAAAGAAAATCATCAGTAAAAAAGTACAAGACATGCAGCAAGCATCAAACACTTGTATATATGCATTCATATACATGCAGACACAGAGTAATGAAGCACTTTTCTTTAGTCCAATTCACAGGAGCATATTAAGAAAAGGTGCATTCTCCATCTTCTTTATTCACTTCTTCTTTGTCTTGTCTTTCAAGTGCTGCCACAGTCTTCCCTCTGGGAAGCTTCAAGCACATGCAAATTGAGGGATCAAATTAAAGGGTGACTGCTCGAATTATGCGCCAGCCTTCCCAGTCTTGGCCTGGCCAGACTCCAATCGCACTGTAAAAACATTCGTCTCACTGAGCCACTAGTGGAATGGTGACAACATGGAAATTAACAAAAGCTACAAAGAGAACTCCAGCAATGTTTTTCAGAACGCCGGCTCTTCTCTGTCAAAACAAGCCAAATAACATTTTTAGAAACAAAACAGTTACAGGAGCTTATCTAAAACTCAATAACAATTTCACTTTCAATGCACATGGGAGCATTTTTATCAGCGCAAAACAAGAAAGACTTTTGAAGTGTTATAACTTGAGGGGCAGAGAAGGATTTTTGCTTTTATTCCCAAAGAAGGTGAATCAATGAACAGCTTTCCAGAATACCTAGATTTGAGTCTTTGTGGAGGGTACAGTGAGCAAAAGAGGCAACAACAGAGCAGTCCTCCACATGGGTAAAAGAACCTGAGATAAGCCAGACTGACAGAAAAAGGGTGCACTACCTGGCATCACTGACGGAGGTGATCCACGGGTTAAAGACACTGTTAGCTCAGGCATACCAGACATTTATGCAGACGTAGGTGTCAAAGTGCCCCATGGCTAGAAGTTGAGAAGGGGTGAGCGACTGAGAGAGAACACTGAGAGAGAGAGAGGGAGGGCAAAAGGAGCTGTCCGTGGTGCTGAAAGCTCTTAGCCCAAATGCTAATCAGATCTGTCAGCTCAGCTGCAGAGAGCTACATGAACCCTGCAGCGTCCAACTTGCACTTAAGTTCTGAGCTAACTGGTGTCCTGTCCTACTGTATGCATCAGCCTTTTCCAATATAAGTATAATAACAGCAATACACATCAGTAAAAGTGCACAGGTAATGACTGCGTCTGACTCCACTCCAGCCATGGCACAGCTTCAGGTAATAGTGAAGGGCATTTGGTTGAAGTTGTGCCTCATCTTCAATTTCTGGTTTCTGGGCAAAACTCTAATTAAAGAGTTTGGAACTGGAAATGTTTCCAGAGATGCTGGAGTTGGCAGGGACTTCACAGAAAGCACTGGTTCTCAAAAGCGCCAAATTAAATCTTACATGTTGGCTCATTAAAACCTGCTGCTGTCAAAATTAGCTTCCAATGGGGAAAAAAATGGGTGAATGTCATTAAAAAAAAACAGCAAAAAATATCAGCAGTTGTGTTACTGTTTGTTCAGAACATAGACTGTATTTAAAGTTCTGTATTGAGGGTTCTTAAGTAGGGCTGGGTTTTTATAATCGATTTATCGATTAAAATCGATTCTGGCTTGGATAACGTAAAATCGATTCATTAAAATCCTGAATC